TTAGAGATAATGTTAAAATATATAGGCAAAATCACCTGAGATACCTATACAATTAGCACAAGAGCCCCTCCCACCAGGCTCTCTCTCCACTTCTCTTCTCTCTATATACCAATGACTGCATCTCAAAAGATCCCTCTGTTAAAATACTGAAGTTTTCAGATGATACAACAGTGATTTGTCTCATTTGAGACAACGATGAATCTGCATACAGACGGGAGGTTTAACACCTAGCCTTGTGGTATCTCTTCCCACTTATGACTATAACCATGTCGCTTGTATCTTTCAATTTTATATTGTTTTATTTATTTCCTAGTATAATTTGATTGCTTATTAGTAACCTATGGCTATTATTAAGTGCTGTTTGTTATGATTCTTGATGGATGTATTCTATTTTATTTTTCTTTTATGTACACTGAGAGCATATGCACCAAAGACAAATTCCTTGTGTGTCCAATCACACTTGACCAATAAAGAATTCTATTCTATTCTATTCTATTCTATTCTATTCTATTCTATTCTATTCTATTCTATTCTATTCTATTCTACTCTATTCCATTCCATCCCATCCCATCCCATCCCATCCCATTCTTTGTTTTGGCCTTGAAAATGTCCCAATACTATCTGTTAAGTCTTGAAACATCATTTGTTGGTGAAAGTACTCCTTTCTTTTCTGCAAGAAAAAGAGTTCCTGGATTTTATTTTATTTATTCTAGATAATTTATATTGCTGCCTATCACACATGGCGAGCTCAAGGCAGTTTACACAGATATAAAAACAATATAAAAGAAATAAAAATAATAATAAAACATCAAATTAGTAAAATAATAACCCCCCACCGCAGCAACAACATGCCTTTCGATGTTGTATTTCATCTCAATCTGTGGTCATCTCTGCTTGATGGATTATAGTCATAAGAGAGGAAACTACTGTAGTTACTGGGACCCAAAGAGTGGAGTTCTCTCTCTCTCACACACACACACAAACACAAACACAAACACAAACAAACACACAGACAAAGCTATAATGTTTGGTTTAGGATGATATATGAATCAAGCTGTTACAGCTAAGTCCCTTGGTAGCACAGCAATAATGGTTTGCACAACAAATAATTGTTACGTTAATAATTATGCAGGAGTGCAGTCTATATGTAACAATTAGACCTTAAGGCAAGGAAAGTGCTACCCTCACTTTTAAGAGTTAAAGAACTAGCAAATGCTTTCAGTATGGATGCTTTCAGAATCAGTTGAGAAAGACCACTGTTTCTGAATGTAGCTGCAAATGATATTATCTTTAGGTATTTGTCTGCTTCTTATAGTTTCTGTACAGTTTTTCCACAGCATTATATTTGAATGCATTAATATGATGGAAATAAAAACTCTTGATTTATTATTTAATTTTTAAAAAGTTCCTCAATATATTCTGCAAGAGAACTGTATTCATGCTTACAGTATGATATTAGCTCTGGTGATGTTCATCTTAAAAGCATTGGGAACTATCAATGATAGTTTTTATATTGCTACTAAGTTACCCAATAAACTATCAAGAAGCAAACAACAATCAACAATCAAAAAGAAAAAAAGTACCCCAATCAAGTATACAAACTCAGACAAACAAGCTAGCAATAAATGACAGCTCAATCAAAGAACCACCAAGACCAATTTCCTCAACACCAATAGGACAAGCCACTTAAGAGCAAACCCCACTCCCTACTAGCACTGATGATGTAAACCTAGTTTGGGAATGAAACATCTTCAAGAAAATAATCAAACTCAGAAAGCACAAAGGACTATCACCATTCATAAACTTTTCCAGAATGCTTTTCCTAGCAGTTCCTACATGCTCAACTTTTGTTTCCATCCACTCAGTTTTGTTCAATCAGCATTACATTTACTAAGCAGAAAATATATCCCTTAAGGCCTTAATACCTTTTTATCTTCTGCGTAGGAAAGCTGACTGAAGTTAATGGGAAATAGATGTATATTGCCACATAGTAGATGACAATATACTCATTGGAATGCAAGTTGGAAAGATTTGTGTGTGGAAAACACACATTCCAACGCTCACAATTGATTTCTTTTTGTTGGTAGTTTGGCTCAAACATCTCTGGCTATTATTATTAAGTAGAATTTTATTAAATATTATTAAATAGGGTTATTAAATAAGTTGAGCGAGGGTGCACTTGCATAAACACGTTTTCATTTGCTTTAAAAGTACACAACTAACACCCCCCCCCTCCACACACAGATTGTAGTTGGGCTAGAACAGCATTCAGTTTGAAAATCGCCTATTGTGAAGAAAATTAAATGATGATATATAAGATGTCAGAAAAAAGAGAAAGCTAAACAATGCAAGACACCTGCTACCTGGTGAAATACCAGGTCAAAAGGTAAAGCTCTAATACTATCTACTGTAATTTCACTTTCTAGGGAGAGTTCTTGGGTCCAGTGTGGTTTATTCTAAGTATGGAAATAAAATTTGGTTTTAATCTTAATAGGAGTATGAGATTTATACTGTTTTGAATTGTAGAATTATTTTCAATTGGATTTATAGGATATAGCCTAGGCGAGATTTAATCCTCCTTGATTATATTATGCATAGTTTAATGCCATATGGTATAATTCCAAATATTATAAAGAATGTTAATTTTTAAAGGCATATTATTTTCTAAATCATGTTTCCCTATTATGTCTTTTCTAGCCTCCATTCTGCATCCTAGCAACTTTGCTGATAGGGGCTATTTATGGATGTTTTTCTTTAATCAGCCTCATGGATATTTTATTTAGCCAGTCTCAACTGCAATATGCAAGAGAGCGATGGAGGCTCATTTGTGGGGTAGATTATGTGTTTTGTTAAAACAAATTAAATACCATTCCTAAATCTAATGCGGATGAAAGAAATGAAAATACTCTTGCCTAAGAGTACCCAACGCGGGATGAGATTTGCACGGGAAAGTCGGATTAACGCTATTCCGCGACTATTTTATTCTTATTCATAGGCGTCATGACCAAGACGTTCGTTCCCATCATTACAGTTTTTGCTTGAGATTTATACAGCGCCGAGCACGGAAGCCTCCCAGGGGAGCGCTGTGATGCAGCCGGCGCTCCTCCCCGCGTTGGGTTGTCCTTCCCGCGCCTCGCCAAGCACCCTGCGTTGCTCCTCCGGCCTCCGGGCGCCTGTTTCTTGCGCTGTGCTCGCCGATGCGACCCTTGCGGTATGCGGCTGCTTTTGGCAGGGAGCTCATGAATGATTTCATTGAGTGTGAAGACAGAGAGCAGAGACAGAAAAGAGAAGAAGGCGGCCGCTGCCTTTGTAGTCTGGCTGGAATGCGGAAATGTTGAAGCACTATGTCAAACTTTTTTGAAACGGGGTCAAATCACATTCAGCCAGCGTGGGAAACCAAGGGGAGAAAAAAGTAGAGGCGAGGTGGGGGGAAACTCTTTTGCTCCTGCTGCTGGTCTCAAACCGAGCCCAGGAACCGAGGAGAGAGAGAAACTGGGACTGCGTGGAGAGGCGGCGGCGGCGGCGTGCAGAGCTAACGCGGAGCCTTGCATTCGGGAGACTCTTCGTTGCAAAGGCTTTGATCAGCCCCAGAAAATTTAGCAGCGCCTCTTTCACTCTTTCCCCAAAGAGGGGGAGGGGATCCTCAGCGCTTTAAGGTGTAGTCTGCCCCCCCCCCCCCGGCTGGCAGGAAGATGCGAAGACGGGGCAGCGGTAGAGCTTCGGAGTTGCTGCTGCCACTACCTGTGTGGCCCCAGTCGCGGCTGCTGGGCTCCGCTCGTGGAAGCTCACCCTCCCCTGTCACCATGTGAACGCTTTGAATCCGGATCGATTCTGCTGCGCGTCTCCTCATTTTCACGGGAAGCGGATTTTTTTTTTAAAGGAAAAAAAAAAGACGCTCTCCATTGTTTTTCCTGCCTCACCAGGTCTTCGCTTTTCATCTTTCTCTCTCTCTTTTAAAAACTATTTTTAACTCCTGTCTTGCTGGAGACCACTTAAGTGGTTAACTTCCTCAGAAGACCGAAGCTGCGCCTGAGCAATTCCAGGTACTTATGAAAGTGCCCATGTGCTCTTAAAACAGATCGGTAGCTTAATGCTTCATTAATTTCCAGAGGTGGGTTGCTGGAATGGGGTTTTCGAGATAACAGATACAAAAAAATAAACAAAATAAAGGGTGGTAGTGGAAGAGGCTGAAAAGTATTGTTCTAGTTCCCTTCTCTCCACGTTACTTGCGTGCTGCAGTAGGGGAGCGCTTTGGGGTGGTCCTTGTGCGATCGGCGCAGCTTCTACGGAGAACCACGTTCAGTGTCCGCGTGGGATTTTCATGGACATGCTCGAGCCGTCTTTAGCAGTGGCCAAAGTAAGAAACGGTGGGGAAGTGTTGCTGCGCAAAACACTTCATTTATTTTCTATTTTAGGAGGCTGCAGAAGGATATTAAGAGAAAAGGGAAGGGGTTCATCCGTCCTAGCCTGTTGCCGACAGTCTAGTAGCACATGTAGTGCATCAAGTTGATGCATGGTTTCTACATGTAACTTATGCATGGCAAACAGTTGAACGTAATTTCTTGGAGCGGGAATTTTAACCCTAACCCTTGACAACAACACCCCCTCCCCTTTTCGCCCCCTAGGATGTGTACTTTTATTGAAACGATAATTGCCCGTCGCCAGCAGCCACGAGCGCTCCGCATGGAGCTCCCGCATCATACAATCATCCCCGGGCTGCATGCGTGGCCGCCTCCCACAGTCGAAAACGGTGTTGGCTGAGCCCCCGCCCCTTGACGACCTCCCACATGGAGCTGCCCCAGATTCCCATCTTCCAACCTCGCACATCAGAGGCCGCCTGGACAGTGGGGGGCGACTTCCATCCCAGAGGCACTCAGCGTATGCGCCGTCTCGTTGGTTATTCTTATTTTCTATTGGCTACTGAGTCTTTTACCTTAGGGAAGGTTCTATTTCGTGGGTGGTGGTGATGGTGGTGCTTGTGCTTGGAATGTTCTTTTCCTGCAGTTGCAACTTGTTGTTAACTTTGGGTGGTTGTCTTTCATTTCTATAACAAGAGAAGGGTCCATGTTGTAGAATTGTCAGGTATCTTTTCAAGCAGATTTTAATAATAGAGTAGCTTTGTAGAAATTAAATTGGGCTAGTCAGTTGGATTTGGGGACATTTTCTGAAACACCTACAAAAGGAACATTGAATTTTATGGTGGGAGAAAGGTGGGATCAAAATACATTTTGTAAAAGTAATTATAATATAATGGCCAAAAGGATAACAGCTTTTTAGCATGTAGCATTCCAAAAACTATCCTTGAGCTTCAGAGCTGCTTTTCCCACTTTGGGGCCCTCTGTTTTAGCAGCATAATCTGCAGAATTTGTACTCCAAATTCCTTTAGGCATGCTAAAGTTCCCATCTTTAATTTCTGGTTTGTCCAGTTAGGACTGGCAACAATGCATGCCAAAAGCCACAGAGAATCACGGCTGCTCTTTGTAGATTAGCTTTCTCCTATTTGGTACCAGGACAGAATTGGTAACTTTTGAGTAAGAGAAATTGTGAAAATTAGAAATTTATGTTTTAAATAGTGAAAATAAAGCATCGTATTAAACAGGTAAAGTAAATATCACATTTATTGCATTGTTAGCTATTATTTCTGGATTTTTGAAGAAAATTATCAGTTGTGGGTGATCTGTTTTTTGTTGAAATTGAAGCAGAGGAAGAAAAAATTACACTTATTTGCCTTCTTGCCCTCCTCTTGTTAACTTTTTGTTTTTAAAATCCCACCTATTGTTGTCTGGTTGAATTTTCTGAAGTGAAATTCTGTTCATATGAAATGATAATGCTGCCTTTTATCTGTACCTTTACATGTGTTGGCTGGAAATGATGGATCCTGTAATCCAGTATATTTGGAAAATGAAGTGGCTGAACTGAGATGTGATTTTGTATCATGCACAAGTTGGATGGATTTCATATAAAGTGAGGGGTTCAAATGCTGCTGTCTGTCATATCTATCAGGATTCTTAATCATGCAGGTCATGGTTTCCCCAAAGGTGTTTTTCTAAAAGGCAACTGGACTTTCTTGCCCTTTTATCTTTTTGGAAAAGCACCTTTGGGTGCCATCTTTCATGTTCTTCTGTGTAATAGGCAGAAGTAGAAATCAGAATACAGTGCAATTCTAGATTTGTTTTATTGTATGTAAACTGAGAATTGGTTTAAAACAAATGCTTATTTGTTAACAAGCCAGGGTTAGAACTTTCTGAAGTTCAGTGAAAATTCTGAATATCTGGTGCTACTTTTGACAGTTATGGACTTTATCTCTTCCCAATCCCACTATTGTTAGTGGGATTGAAATTTCATACATTCTTTGATTTAGTACATTTATAGATATTATACATAATTAAGAATTATGTAGCTGGGGAAGTAAGAGTATTACTTTTCCTAAACAACTTTGTGGAGAGAAAGCATCTTAATTGAAATGCAAAATCTTCAGGCATTAACACCCAGACACTTTGCTGGCAACAGCAATGAAAGTCTTCATAAAATTATATCTGAATTCCTTATTTGGGATCTTTTCCTTACCCAACAATTTGCACATTCTGAAGTATCACAGATAGCAAATTTAAGGGGAGAAAGCCCAAAACATTTTAAACCATTTGAAAGACCAGTGAAGCAAAATATTTTTAAATAACCTTCCCAAAAGCAAATGAAGAACAGGCTGCTCTAGAACCTAGGAAAGAAAATATGTCAGTTTACAATTGCTGCTGCAGAAAATCCCTATATTGTGTTTCTATCAATGTGAACTTTCTAGTGATAGGAACTATAGACTTTCTTGAAACTGATCTTTAAGCAGGTACACTTTGGGGGAGATGATATTTCAGATATGGCCCCAATTTATTTAGGAACCTGTAGGTACAGAACAGCATCTTTAATTATTTCCAGAAAAAAATTGACACCAGTTTCTGCAGCTGATTCTTAGGTCAGCTCCAGATAAATTGCATTCTATCAATTATTTCATATATATGAAAGGGTTAATTCATGAAACACTATGCCCAACATTACATAAATATCTTTTGAACTATTTGCAGATATTTTAGTTGTAGCTAGGTTTCTTGTTTAGAGATATTTTTATTCATATTTTCTTTTAGTGTATGAGCACAAAAAAACCTGATAGTTGCCTTTTATCTGTGGTATTTCATGTATTACTCAAGCCATTGTCTTTCTTGCCAATAAATTGGGCATAACCATCAGACGTTGAGACTACTGGCTTTATCATACTATAAAATAGTGCAAAGACATGATGTAGGTTTTTTTTTTTCTGGAGATAATAGTTATCCTTACCACAAATCAAAGTGATTGCAAGATGAAAATGTGTGAATTGCCAACAGGCAACTATCCTGATAGCTCATACTTTATTTATTTCTTATTTTCTTGAGTGCATTTGTATCATTTTTCCAGTTCTTAAGGTATTTCCCAGTTCCTTATTTTGAAACTTTTTGCAATACTATAATAAATCAATAACTATTGGATCAGGAAAGACTTGCATATCATAAAAAATGAACAAAAGGTTGCTGCAGATTTATTAAGAGAAGATAAAGGGCTTTTACTGATCCTATATACGTAGAATACTGTTTTACACATATGATTCTCTTCAAGTTCATTGATACATACACTACTGTAGTATATTCAAAAAATAAGTTGCATCATGTTAGCTGCTGAAGAGAAGGGGCATGATGGCTCAGAGGTTAAAGCTGATATTTTCAGCTGAAAATCTGACAGCCTGAGTAACATCTGACCACATGAACTCCCATTCCTGACCCAGCTCCCGCCCACCTAACAGTTCAAAAGCATGTAAATGCAAGTATAAATAGGCACCACTTTGGTGTGATGGAAACCGAGTTCTGTGCACCTCAATATATAGTCATGCTAGCCACATGACCACAGAATGTCTTCGGGCAACACTGGCTCCCTCACATAACAAATGGATCTCTGCCCCTTAGACTAAACAGGGAAAACCTTTACCTTTTACCTGCCTTTTTCCAGTAAACACAGAAGGGAAACCTTTTTTCTGATACCATTGTTGAAAGTGGTAAGATTTCTTGCCATTTTATAAGCAAGAAACTTAAAACTTAGAAAGTTCTGCAAATGTGGGAATCATGCAAGATGGAGTTTTGCTTATTTTGTGTGACATTACCTGCCCACTATTGTTCTTGGGTTGCATCTTCTTTCTTCAGTGAACTATAGTCTGTTGCTACTAGCAATTAAAATGCTGTGTATTTCTGAGGTAAAATTTCCTATCTTAAATTCAATTCATGTTTGCTTATTTGTAATATATATTTACAAGTTCATATTGTTTTGAAATTATTTTTCTTCTCCAAAGATCACCTCCATATTAAAATGATCTTCTGAAAATATTAAAACTTCTTTCATAATGTTTTGTAATATGTTTTTAAAAAAAAAGAGTAGGCAAATTGTCATCATTGAAGGGAATTGTAGCCCAACAGACCTGGAAGTCACAATTTCAAAACAGTATCAGTACAATTCTTAGCTTATTTAACACTAATATTTCCAAACATTCTTTAAATCACAAATCTGAGAGAGATAATTGTAGACTTTAATAAGGACCCTTAATACTTAGCTGAGTGATAATTATATGAATCAGTCATTCTGGTAGAAGATAAAAATGATATAGTTGGTATAAAAAGAAGGTAAGCTATCTTTCCTTTTCAAGAATTGTCTGTAAAGTATTTACTTAAAAATTAAACATAATTAAAGAGCTTTCTTTAAGAAGAGAAACTTCTTAGTTGTCAGAGATCTTTTTTTAAAAAAATGCAAATATGCATGCCTTCAGAAATGCTTATAGAATACTGGTTGTGAAAAGCTAGCATATGTTGATTAAGGTTGGCATATGTCATACTAAATTTATTAGCTTTCATGCAATAAATTGTTTTCCCATATATTGTAGAAATCATAAGTAGTGATGTCATGGATTCTTCTACCACATTTCTATACTTACAAGAAAATAATCTCCATTCTTTAACTAAGTAAATTTGAGTAGTGATTTAGAGAATAGAATTATTCATACTCTTCAACTGCTAAAAGAAATTTTCACCAGTGGAGTTATGACAAACAGAGGCGGCTAAGTATGCAGAATAAAAACTCATATTGTAAAGTAGGGAAACATACATAAAGGCTGGGAAAAAGAGAATTTCATAATTATTGAGTAAAATATTAGAAAAGGTCCTTAGTGTTGAAAAGGGAAGGAAAGCTTAAGAAAAAGCATGGATAGGAGGGAAGATTCAATGGAAGAACTACAAAGTGTGAAAAGTATGGAAAACAACAGGAAAACTATGCTTTAGCAAAAATAAGGATGATTGGGGTTATTAGGGAAATAAGAAAGACAATATAGTGGGAAAAGACCTTTTAAGAAGAATATCCAAAGTATAGCTACCACCAAAAATTCAGTCTTGTCCAACCTAGCATATTCTAGTGTATTGAACAAGAGATGTCTTCCCAGCCAATCATCTTCATTAATTAGAAATTCTGAGATTAATTCACAGGTACAGACAATAGAGCTTTATGAAAAAATTTGTAGTAAACACAAATAGAGCATCTTTCTTAAGGTATTATAGCATCCACACCCTTTAAAAAGCTTGTGTGGCTACTTTGAGATCAGTCTTGTCCTTGAATACATATGCATGCTCAGTTTCTTTTCTTCACCATTAATCCCAGGAAATGTATTTTGTGGGGAGGATTTTTAACCATCTGTACAAACTTTGTAAAGAACATGAATGCTTTAATAAGATGTACTTAGTCCACAGTGACCCACATTGCAAGTAAGTTTTTGGTTTACACAGCCACAATGGCAGAAGCAGAGAATTAAGTAGGATGAGAAAAGGAGGTGCAATAAGAGAAAATATATTTGGGATAGCTAAGCAGAATTCTAAAGTTTGGAGTACAAAATCAATTATTCTGTTGTTAATAAACTCAGCTACACAATACATAGACATGGTTTATGCTCAAGTGTATGTTTGATTTAATGCTTTGTTTGAGTCTGACATAGTTTTTTCTTCAAGAAATGTATAGTTTAAAAATTCTTGCTTACTGCTATCTGAATGTACCCATTGTCTTTTCTATAGTTTACTGAGTTTTCCATTTTTATCTGTAAAATACTAGCAATTACCTTAATAATCTTGAAGTTATGTTGAAAAAATCTGTTTTTTTCACAATTACTGATTTTTGACATTTACTTACAACAAAATTAAAAGAGTTTTTGATTCTTGGTGATGCTTTGGTTGCTCATTAGGGATAATACAGAGAAGTTGGTGATCTGTATATAGACAAGTTTTGTAGCCCTTGTCACTCCTTATTACTTGAAGGTTGAATTTGCTGTAGCCAGTCATAATTTATCACTGATTGTAGATGACAACTATAGATATAAAGCTTACTTCTCTCAGCCATGCATTGATTTTTCATTGTTGAATCATTCCCACATTGTCTTCACATACTGGATCTTTTACATGTCTATCTAGAAAAAGATTAGGCATAAATATTATGGAGTTTGGATTTGATAAATTATAACATTTATGGTTTCATTAAAAATTAACTCTATTATTCACCTATTTTACTGGTACTGATACATGTGAAGAAAGCACTTTTAAGCCTGGTAATGTCAGTGGGAAACATCTTACACATACAGAGCATTCAACATCATTGTGCTTAGCGAAATTAACCTTGCCCTAAGATGTACTTTTCGGAATCTTCTATCACCCTTTGGATAAATCCTCATCTGTGTGTCTCTGTTTTTTTAAAGTAGCAGATGTCTCTTTGGACATGTAAAAGAATCACAGCATTTTAAAATCCAAATATGATCAATTTTAGAAATTAAAAAAAAATGCATTTCAGCTACATCTTGGCTTTGTCTTGCACATTGCTAACTGTGCAGAGAGAAACTGAAAAGTCTTTATTCAAGCCCAATTTTTTTTCTATTTTGCCTGGCTGCAGCTTTGCTTATCCGGCTGTTGCTGTCAATTCCATAGCAATTCTCCATTTATATTATTAATTTTCTCCCAGTTTGGACTCTGTCTAGATATGTGAACTTGGTTCCCAGAATTATCAGGAACAGCAAAATTCTCAGCAAAGCAGTTCCTTCAATGAGAAATTTTAGAAGTTGAAGTCTAAATCTGAAGGGCATCTGTCCTTGAAGATGCTTGGAAATTTTAGCTAATAGAAATAGAAACCTTCAATTTTAAAAAAAAATGATTACTAGTATATTTTTGAGACTCAACTCAGTAATGATAGTCTTGACCTACAGAGTTCAGAATGTATAGATTGTGACCTGTTCAATGAAGAAATTCATATAATGAGTTTTGTTGTATTGGAATTTGTTTGGCTTAGTTGTGTGTATCAGGTTACAACTTGATAATGTAAACATAACTGGTCAAAACTATCCTTAGTTTAGTGTAATAGGTAATTCCAGCTATTGTCTCTTAGACCAACTTGACAGTTGTTGAGAAAATAAAATGAGCACTCTTTGAAGGGAGACAAAATTAGTAATATAGGGAATGGGATATAAACACTAATAATGGGAATGTAGTCTGGTAATGTATACTAAGTAGTGAAAGTAATGCTGTTATATTATTTATTAAGTAAATGAACAGTTGAAAAATAAATGAAAAGATATTCTGTGATGAGAAATAATATATTCTCTCTCTCTCTTTCTCTCTCTCTCTTTCTCTCTCTCTTTCTCTCTTTCACACACACTTTGGTTTTATAGATTGAATTGGGTTACACAGAGATTTATTCCAAAGACCATTGACCAGCTAAGCAATAGGGCAACCACAGTTTATTACTACAGTTCTTGAATGTTACATCCTGTTGACTGGCCCATCTTTAATTGTTCTGGATACTTGTTGAAGTAGCTGAAAGTGCATTTTGCCAACTGGAATCCAGGTCAACAGATTCAACAGTTGGAACATCAGGCAACAATTTGTGAAGAAGGAAAGCCGTGAAGTCATGGATAAGGACAACATGAGCCTAGCTGACCAGCAGTATGAATGTGTGGCGGAAATTGGTGAAGGAGCCTATGGGAAAGTGTTCAAGGCTCGAGACTTGAAGAATGGAGGGCGCTTTGTAGCACTGAAGAGGGTGCGGGTGCAGACCAGCGAGGAAGGGATGCCGCTTTCCACTATACGCGAGGTGGCAGTCTTGAAGCATCTGGAAACGTTTGAGCATCCCAACGTGGTCAGGTGAGGAAGTGGGGCAGAGAATGTAATCAACCATGTTTGAGATTAGTTGTGTATATTGAGCATTTTAAATAAAGGCATTTGGATAACCTGAGCATTAGAGCAGATATATGGAATAGTTTGTTTAAGAGAATATATTGCCAGCCTAACCCATCTGTGTTTGAGATTTGACTCCTACGCATTCAAACATCCATCTCCAGAGGCATAGGTGTGTGACTTAAGTATTTGAGTGGATGGGCATCGTGCCACATGTATGCATTGATTTCTGGAACACAAAAAGGAAAAACAAAAAGAGTGTATTTTGTACTGGGAATTAGTTATGCCAAAGTCAACCTATAAATTTTTTTTAGCATTACTAAATATTGCTATTAAGGCAATACTCATCCTATATGGTCTCCAAGTTAATTTTGAAATTAGAACTTAGTTTAGAAAATAGTCCCTTTAAACAATTCAAGAGTATACAGAATATAATAAAATTGCATGTAAAATAAAAATTCAAAATGGGTAAATGTCTGTGGAGATTCTCAGTCATCCAGGTCATGATTGTCTCAAATGTGCTTTTTCAAAAGGCAACTGGACTGTCTTTTCCTGAGGAAGAAGATATTTTGCTTCTCACCCAAGAAGATCTATTCCAACTGAACGATGGGGGGGATGGAAAGATTAGTTATAACAGGATGGTTGGGAGTGGGCTGGGAGGATCATATTCCTTTGCAGAACATCTGGTCAATAGCGTTCTGAGATTTGTTGAGGCCATTTGGGAATTTATCTGTGCCCTCAGAGTCACCTGCATTAGAGTGCACATGATGTGGAATCGTCTTGGAACTGCTGAAAGGACTGGGATATGTGTTGTTATATCTCCCCCCCCTCTGTTGAAGGAGGGATGTTCAATTCTAACATAAATGGCCTTTTTTTACCCCTCTTTCAAACCAATGGTCCTTTCTATCTAGGATGTGGATTTTGCTGTCTTTAAAAGAATGACCTTTGTCTTTCAAATGCAGATGGATTGCTGAATCTTGTCCTAATAAGTTTGTTCTCCTGTGTTGCGCCATATGTTTGTGAAATGGTTGTTTTGTTTTCCCATTGTATAGATCTGCACTTGTCTCATTACTTTGTGCAGGTAGTTCTTGACTTAACAACAGTTCATTTACTGACAGTTTGAAGTAACAACAGCACTGAAAAAAGTGACTTACGACAATTTTTCACCCTTATGCAATCCCATGGTCACGTGATCAAAATTCTGATGCTTGACAACTAACTCATATTTATGTCATAAATATGGACACATGCTGTCTTCTGTGGTCATGCAATCATCTTTTGCAACTTTTCTGACAAGTAACGTCAAGCCAGATTCATTTAACAACCATGTTGCTAACTTAACTACTGCAGTGATTCACTTAACAACTGTGGCAAGAAAGTTCATAAAATGGGGCTAAATTCACTTAAACATCTCAGCAATAGAAATTTTGGGGTCAATTGTGGTCATAAGTCGAAGACTACCTGTATTGCATATCTCACGCTTAAGTTTGTGTCTGGGTGTATTATGCATGGCACAACATCGGAGAACAAAATACACTAAGGTAGAAGTTTATCTACTCCAAGGATTAAACACTTTGCCTACTTGGTTAGAAGTAAGCCATATTGAATTCAACAAAACATAATTTCCATTGAGGATTGTAGCCTTAGTTGCATTTAGATATATTACATCTCATGGCCTTTAAATATATTACATTTCAGGCAGTGGTGGGTTTCAATTTTTTTTAGAACCTCTTCTGTAGGTGTCGCCTGCTTTGTGGGAGTGGTTTGCTGGCCATGTGACTGGGTGGGAGTGGCTTGCCAGCCATGTGACTGGGTGGGA